CGTTTACTGCTGTTTTTTATACACCACTCGTTTGGAACACACCTCCTTCTTCCCAGAAGAGAACCAACTATTAATCCAACGGGATTTTATATGAAATGTAATGTCCTCTGGACCAAATCTGTTCTTTGAGGGCCAATTTTATGGTTGAAGCGTGAATGGGTCAGCTCGAAAGCGAAAGGTCCACGTACTCACAGAATACCAGCATAAAATAACAGGTCAATGCTGCTGTTTTCGTATGGTGAATGTAGAGAACCGGAGAACCTTGTAACTGGAAACGAGGTATTCCATGTTAGTCCTCAAGGGTGGCAACGCATTTGCGTTTTAATTTTTAATCGAGAATACATGTAGATGTTTATGGGCCACAGCATCCACTTACTATATGTTGGACTGTGTGCTCGTTTGTGCAAAAAAAAAGTACTTGACATAAAATCTAATTTTAGGCTGACTCGGAACTACATGACGACCACAATACTAAGAAGGCAGTTAATATAAAGGCTTACAATTTATAAAATCCCCAAAGATTAACTCGTAGGGGGATACTTGCCATAGTTTGATTATATACTGCAATATATATTTCAATTACTTTGGAAACGGCTTGGTAACGATTTTCAGGAATATTTTTATTCATGTATTCTTAAATCTTAATAATACTTAACATATTGCTAAAATCATGGTTTATCGTACTCTCTATTGTAATATATGTGTATTTTAGATTGGTTAGTTTTAATTATGGCATTACTGCAATTGTCAAATACCTACATGATTGCTATGTTGCTCGCTCTCTCGGATTAAACCGCTTAGCTGAACAGATGTGTGTTATTTTGCTCCCTAATAATATATATGGTGGTGGTCGGATCCCCGGTCCGCACTACAAATTGGCGACGAAAACGTTATTCACGTGTATAAATAATAGTGATTGAGTTCCGGTAACTGGTCGTTATATATCGAATGACTCTAACAATACTTTTTCGTTAACGATGTTAAACATGAAATGAAGGTGCCGACATTAATAACAGTAATGGGAGGTCCAACATACGAGCTATTATTGAATTTATGCACTCCATCAAAGCCGTCTTCGTTGACCTTTAATGAACTCATCAAGGTCATGAGCAGCCATTTGCAACCGAAGTCAAGTATTCTCGCGGAAAGGTATAAATTTAGGCAACGAAAGTAAAATGAAGATGAAAACATATCGGAGTATGTAGTGGAGTTAAGAAAAATGACCAAATTTTGCGATTTCAAAAGTACAATTAATAAAAATTTACTGGATCAGCTGGTCTGCGGGCTACGGGCGGAGAGCATTAGACAGAGGCATTTTGCCTTAGAGTGCTTACATTTCGAGGGAGCTTTAAAATTAGCACAGTCCTTATGATAGATGCAGTAAGAGATGCGGCGATCGTAGATGGAAGAGGTCAAATTAACGAGTCCGTTTATAAAAGTACTACACGTAATAATGAGGGACGATCGACTGGTGGCAGAGGGGAGACGAGTCCAAGGTAGCAAGACGTCAGGTCAAGGTCACAAGCAGCGGAGGCGGAAGGCAATCGGCCGCGCAGACGCGGCTACCTGGCGCCAAGCGCCTTCCCCACGGCGAAGGTGTCCGGGCAGCAGTGCACGGAATGCGGTAAACCGCATGAGGTTTCACAATGCAAATTTCGGGTTTACGTGTGCAGAATTTGCAATAGGCAGGGTCACTTAAAGAAGGTCGGTTCGCAAAGCAGATTCTCTATTTCCAACAAATTGAGTTGGCGGAAAGGGCAGAAGACAGCGCCGAAAATGAAGAGGTACGATTAATTAATAATCTTTGTAACCATACATATTACAGTTTAGAATGTTTCAAACCATATTTGTTAAATATATTAATTAATGACATTGTTTTACAAATGGAGATTGACACAGGTAGCTCAGTTTCATGTATTATTATAGTGAAGATTGTTATATAAAAGAATTTTCGAATTGTATATTAGAACCTAGTAATTTAGTTCTTAGATATTACACCGGGGAGAGGGTGAGAGTCCTGGGAAAAATAATGGTTAAGGTCCAGTATAATGTTGTTACGTGTATATTACCCTTATATATAGTTAAAGGAGCTCGAACGTTTTTAATCGGAAGACATTGGTTAGAAAAGTTAAAAATTGTGGACAATAGTTGGTTAAACAATAGCAAAATTAATGTAAATTGTAAAAAAAATTGAGGAATGTGCATTCAATTTGGAGTCGTTCAGTTCCTGATATTGTGATGTGTTTGCGGAGGGGCTAGGGCGTTCACCGCCAGTGTTGCCAACTTGACGGGTTTCCCGTTAGATTTGACGGGACAGCGTAATTGGCAACGGGAAAAAATTGTGTTTAACGGCTAACGGATTTATTAACGGGACAACAAAATATTTGTTTTTTTTTTTAGATTTATTTTCGAAATAAAAATAATTTGGAAATGGCAAAAATTAAATTATAATTTTATTAATTTTTTTAGTTTAAAAATACGAAAAAAATTGCAATACATTCTTATCTTTAAAAAGTTGAGAGAGTGAATTTTCATTTGACGTAATTCTTTTAAATACAGCTCGGAAACTGTTTTGTTGTTGGGCGACCAAAATGATGAGCTATTGTTGAATATATAGAAAACTATCAACTACTCTATTTATTTCATTCTCTCTCTTTACTGTTTGAGTCGCATATCCTGTGAACCTATGATATCCCTGAAAGTCAATAAGTTTTAGTTCGATAAAATTACTTTATTACTTATAGCATGTAGTAGATGGCGCTATTACAAATCTCAAATAGAAAATGTTCGGTTCCAAATGGATCTCACAGACTCAACAAAGTACTGAAACCCGAAGTGATCTAGTGTGAATGTGAAACCAGTACGTGTGACGAAATGTACTAGAATAATTCGGTCACTAGAAATGAATGATTGACACTTGTCTACCGTACTTGATGGGAGTATAGTATTCTCTACAACGGGAGCTAGATTTTAATATTGGCAACACTGTTCACCGCAGCACCGGCCAGTTTGCGTGTGCGAGCCGACGCGCGGCCAGTGTTCATGCGCGCGCACCCTCTCGCGTTCGTGATGAGGCTACCGGTTGAGCGCGCTTTAGAAAGTACGTAGCGAGAAGGTATTATTTCACCAGTCGATACTTCGGAATGGGCTACACCAATTGTACCGGTAGTTAAGGCGGACGGCACGATTCGTATTTGCGGAGATTAAGCTCACACTTAAGAGGATTGTAAAGCTGTAAATTTTCATACAAAAAGCGATAACGTTTTCCCACCAGTAAACATAGTCTGATTTTCATAATTTTTGGAAATGTTGTAGATATAACAAAAAACTAGGTCCGTACATTTTAATTTAAAAAAAAATTACGTACAATATAAGTTATTAGCATCTAATATCTATTTTTGATTTAAAAACTTCCTCGAGCGTTTGTATTATTCTTAATTATACTAAACTGATTTACTGAAAAAGAAAAACGTACAGACCTAGACTAAGGTGTAGTGAATCTAATGAGACCATTAAAATAACCGAAAATAACCGACCATAAACGAAAATTATCTAATTTCGTAAAGGTTTAGGGGGGTAAAAATGTTATCGCCCAAAACAATATTTCAATAAAGAAATTTAGGCAATTGCTTCCAAGACTTGCAACTTTTTCTATCGCACGATACAGGTCGGGAGGCAATACGCATGCATACGCATACTGCTGTAGTTGTGGTTTGTTGTTATTAGATTTCGGAGATTTTGTCTATATACATATGTGAATATATTTGACGGCTACGTGGAGCAGTAGCTCAGCAATGACGTATAGCGCTGAGGACCGCGGGTTCGAATCCTGTACGGCTCAAGTATTTGTATGGCCTACTAGTAATTGTTTCAGGTCTGGATGTTTGTCCTTGTGATTGATGATGTTGTTGTTTATGTATGTAAAAACTGCCTCCACGATACAGGAGAAAGTCCTAGTGTAGTAGGGGGTAACTTAAAAAAATAATAATTAAAAAACATATTATTATAGCCTAGGGAGAAGAAAGTAGTACCGAAAACCTACACAAATAATACTTCTTATGAAAAAATAATATCTGTGAATAACTTCATTAGCTATTTAGTCTTTTTATTTTAGAGATTTATTGAATAAGAACTGTAACTTAAAAAGATTTCGAAATTACACTTAATTAGATAGGTGAATAAATAAAAAAGTAACAACTTGCGGAAAATATTTTTTTTATTACTACATATTACTTTATTACACTCTTTCCCGAGCTGTCATATTTCTAGGTACTTGAGGGTCAATCAGGTTTGTTATTAGAATGAGTTACGTTTTGGCTGCATTTTTCTGGCCAAAGTGGTCATCGTACTTAATTTTTTTTTCATACGCTAAAACATGTAGCGTCCATACTACGAAAAAACAAAATTGCCTACCAGTGATATGTAATTTTTCCTGGACCTGATAATAGTAATCGTGACTTCTTTTTAAAATCATCTGCCCTTCTCGTATCAGACAAAATTTAATCTTTTTCAGTAATGGCCTCCACAGGTGGCATATTAGAAGCAGAAATAGGACATTTGACTTCAATTAGAGAGTCATCTCCGATAAGTCCATCGGAACTTACCCCTAAATAATAATCATCTTAATCAATAAACAGTCCACACACCGAAACTTTTAGTTTGGCAGTTGTGAAAATTCTCGTATGGCCTCCGATTTGTGTTGGTTTTTGTATTCGATTGCCGTATTTCCTTTGTAATGAGTATACAGTAAGGGCGCAGTTTGAAATTTTTCCAAATTTATATGCAGTTAGCCTTTTTCTCCGTTTCAACAAACAGTACTTATTTCTTCAACAAAAAATGAATAAATAATCAACTCTGTCTGACCTGACAGTGACAATTATTGACATAGACATATGAGGTAGGTAGATCAAGATCCTATCAAATCAATCTTATTCATTACGTTTTGTTTGTTATTGATTGACTAGGTACTTATATTGTTTATATGATAATGATAGAACTGTTCATTCCTCGACCTCGTCCTCGTCCACGTATGATGAGCCTCTGCTGCCTGGATTGAGCACCCTCATTACTGTAACCAATTTTGCTGCTTTCTCGGTGCGAAGTCTGTTTCGTAATTTAGAGTGCACCAGCCCAAAAGTCGAAAATAATCTTTCGATTCCGGCAGAAGACGCAGTGGCTGTATATAACTGATTTGTGAGATCTATCATTCCCGGATCTATTTTACTTCCCAGCGATCTCCACCACACGGACACATGAGTTCTTTTTAAAAGATCTTCCTTAAACATGTAGTCTTTAAATGGAAAACTCATCGCACGGTACGTGAGGACATCTTTCATTGCCTGCAGATAGCTTAAATCTATGAACTCCATACCCATTGTGTCTTCTTCTTCATCTAGTCCTTCACCTCTATATTTGGGGTCTAATATATGAGCGGCAAAATGTGCAGGTGTCATTGCAGCGTTATATCTTACTTTCAGCTTGTTGGCTTCTTCTAGCAACCAGTTCGACGAGAGTAGGCCCTTCCATATGTGTGTACAATCGCTTAGGACACACATTTCCTTCTGTACATAATCAAGAGCAATTGATATTTTTTTAAGTTTTCTAAGATAGTTCTCAACATTTTCTTTTAGTTCACCATCTTGAATGTCGCTTACGATTATTATGTCTATTACAGAGCTGTGTTAGCTGCATACTTTAGCAAAACAATGCCAATTACTGACATATGACTCGAGAGAGTCTGCTAATGTATTCAAACGTACATCTTGAAGTAGTATAAGCGCCTATCCACCAGCTTCCCTGTACTTTACTCCAGGAAAATGATGATACTTGAAGTACTTTATAATTTTTTTATCTTACTTTTAATGTCCACTTGTTCAATGTCTTTAGCGAATAAATTCAATAAATGAGCAGAGCAACTATATTTGATAATATCGCCTATCTCACTATCTTCCAATTCCGTCAATTGTCTTCTCATCTTTGCCATATTAGCAGCGTTATTGATTTGGTTGCCAAAGCTACGCACATGGCAACCAAATCTTTGACACTTTTTAATGTTGTCGACTGCAAGAATCAAAAGATAATCACCAGTGTGACTTTTGTCAGTAGTATCTATTGTATCTATATAATTAATCCTAACTAGTTTTTTTTTCGTACTTTTTAAAACTTTTTATTGGCAACATTATAATTTTAAGGTATATTGTAAACTGTGATGGCAATTCTAGCTGGCGGCTGACGGGGATTACCCCAGCAGACTACAATGAGCGAACCAGTAAGGTAATTTTTCTACTCTGAGTAAATAGGAAAGGGATGAAGATAGTTCGCTCCGCTTGTATTGTACTGCGGTATTTTTCTTATTGTCATTGTAGATTAATCAGTGAGACTCTAGTGACTAGTGAGTGATAAATAATTTGATTGAGTTTCGTTCGTTTAGTATTTATTTGTTTGATTTATTATCAATCTGGAAAACTCTGGATCTGCAGTCTGCCTGCCTGCCCTTCCAAAAGAAAGAATGTCTACAGGACGAAAAAAGGATTCGCTTTGGCAGTACTTCACAGAACTGCCTGCATCTACAACAGGGGGTGGTGCAAAAACACTCAGGGTGAAGTGCAAGTATTGCGGGAAAGACTTGATAAGGTTAATCGCCCGAATGAGGGCACATCTAACAAATTGTTCAGTTTATGCGGCTAAAAAGTCAAGCCCATCGACTTCGACAGCAATTCTTGCCAAACCCACAATGATTCAATTCAAACTTAACGTTTTTTATATATGTTTTAAACGTGTTTAAAACAAAATGTTTTAAAACGTGTTTTAAACAGGTATGTATTTTTTCCAGTGTTTTAAACAGTGTTTTAAACACTTACTTTAAACAAACGTTTTAAACATTGCCAACCCTGGTAAATAGGGTCTCCGGTTCCCTACTCTCACTATAAGAAACACAGTTTGACTACACTATTTGACGCTGGTATTCTGAGAGAGCGTGGTCCTTCTCCGTTTGAGCCGACCCATTCGTGCTACAACTATACTACTAATATAACTGCAGCATGGCCCTACCATATAAAAGCGACGCAAAACATTGCTCACAACTCTTTTTCTTCTAGGTACTGATAAGTAAACTTAATAGTTGTTAGTTTTCTTCCCCTAATGCTTCAATTTGGAACAAAAATTTCTGAAAAAATGATTTATGCATTCTACTTTTTTAACCATGAGGTTAGAACCGTATGGCATAGTAATCAATAGTCCATTTATGATACCAGAGTCCCCATCGCCCGCCATGTTTTTCAACGCTTTTTTTGGAAACTTATTATGCCTTCTTCCACCGATGTAGCGCTGTTAGACCTCTAATATCCTTTCGACGAATATTAGGAGTACAACGTCCCTTCATATTACTCCTTCCGGTCCGGTAATTCCTTGTCAAGCTCAGAGTCACTGACGAATAAATAGAATGATAATAGTTAAAAATATATTGTTGCGCGCCTAAGTTGACGTCATGTACCCGGCACTAGCGCCATCTAGTGTCGGGGACAAGAGCGAGGAGGGCTTCCTAGAAAATTTCAATCTTGACTTTCAACCAACTGCGCCATATAGTATCGAATTGAAGAACTAAGCTTTCTAGAAGCTCTACACTCGAACTTTCGGCGCCTGGTCGGTTGGCGCGCGTATTTACTTGAATATTTTGGATGTTTCGGTGAAAAAGGCGCTGCAATACGCGATCGAGTCAGTATTGAATTTGGCGAGACAAGCGAAGCTTCGGAGCGAAATAAAGTGAATCAGTGTGATTAATTATTAGTTTTTTTTAAGTTTTAAGCAGCTGCAGGGCGGACAAGAGAAACTGGCCCGTCGGTTGGAAGAGCAGATGCTCCTCATGAAGGACCTTCACGCTACCTTTGGGAAGGAGATAAAGGAGGTGAAGGATAGGGTTGCTCAGTATGACAATCGCCTGTCGGAAACTGAAACCAAAATCGCAAAAGCTGAAACCCGAATCGACCAAGTGAACAATCGGTTTGACAACGTGATGGCTGACATGAAGAAATCATTGGACGAACTCAAACTTGGGGATGAACTACAGCTCCCGTAGTAGCTACTACACCTTCGCTAAGTGGGTTCAAAGTGCCACCGTTCGACGGGACTTCTTCCTGGTCAGCTTACAAAATCCAGTTTGAAGCCGTTATGAAGGCGAACTGCTGGAATAAAAGTCAGGCCATGACTGCTCTCACACTAGGCCTGCGCGATCAGGCCGTAACTGTTCTGGAAGCTCTCGGTGAGGAAGTGACTTATGAGCAGCTCCTTGAGGCATTGGAGGCGAGATATGACGACGCTCACCTGGAACACGTCTTTCTAGCGCAGCTTAAATATCGCGTGCAGCGCATCAATGAAAACCTGTAGCAGTGGGCTCTAAAGGTGGAGAAGCTGGTGCGAAAAGCATACCTGCGCTCATTGAAGGGAACCTGGTTCAGACATTCATCTACGGCATCCGCGACCTTGTAGTCGGAGCTGCTGTGCGGCTCGGGCACCACGAGACGCTTAAGGATGCCTTGACCCATGCACTGGAGGTGGAAGCCGTGCGGCAGGATCATCGTTCCCATCTCGTCAGGGAGGTTGCAGCAGCTGCAGTTCGCGACCGCAATAATGGATACAGCCCTAGGTGCTGTGGATGTGGGGAAAGGGGCCGTCTTCGATCCAGCTGCCTTAAGCGAACCGTAGAAAGGGAAGTTGATCGATCTCGAGAGGATAGTCCAGCTAACGGCACTGCCTGGCGGCGGCAGGATCATCGTTCCCCTCACGTTAAGGAGGTTGCAGCAGTTACGGTTCGCGACCACAATAAAAATTACAGCCCAAGGTGCTACGGCTGTGGGGAAAGGGGCCATCTTCGATCCAGCTGACCTAAGCGATCTGTAAAAAGAGAAGGTGATCGGTCTCGAGAGGGTTGTGCGGCTAACAGTACCACCCAGCAGCAGGAATACGACTTTGTGATTGAACACCGCAGCGGGAAATCAAGGAGACCTTGCCCTGAAGATTGCAAGCATTGTACTAGGCAGGAGAGTAAGTAAGTGGTATCCGTGAGGATGCTCAGGACAGACCACCTCAGCAACGGAAGGACAGCTTACAACATGCACAGCAGGAAGATCTGGACATCAAGCTGATTCTGCAATGGATGAAGGCCAGTGCTCCCAAGCACAAGTGGAGCGACGTCTCAGCGATTAGTTCGACCACGAAAAGCTATTAGGCCCAATGGGACGGCTTGCTGATTCAGGATGGAGTTCTGTGCCGTAAATGGGACAACGGTCGAGGAGACAGCTGTCGTTTGCAAATGGTTGTCCCTAAAGCTAAAGTGCCGAATGTTCTACAACTGCACCATAATGGTTGTTCAGGAGTCAATCAGAGTTAAACGAACTCTACTGAAGATCCGAGAACAGTTTTACTGGGTCCGTTATCGTGACGATGTCGAGGATTGGTGTCGCACATGTACAAGTTGTGCGGCTGTAAGGGGACCTCAGACTCATAGTAGAGGAGCATCGAAATTGTACAATGTTGGTGCACCATGGGATAGGACAGCCCTTGACATTGGGGAGCCGTTACAGGAAGGCGCAAGAGGGACTCCTAAGATCGTCCATGTGGATCGCCTGGCGCGTTATTATGGGGCCGATAATGCTCGGGACGAGCATGTCTTAGGAGGGGACAGTGTTGCGCGCCTAAGTTGACGTCATTTACCCGGCACTAGTGCCACCTAGTGTCGGGACGAGAGCGAGGAGGGCTTCCTAGAAAATGTCAGTCTTGACTTTCAACCAACAGCGCCATCTAGTATCTAATTGAAGAACTAAGCTATCTAGAAGCTCTACACTCGAACTTTCGGCGCCTGGTCGGTTGGCGCGCGTATTTACTTGAATATTAAATAATGTTTCGGTGAAAAAGGCGCATTTAAAGGCGCTGCAATACGCGATCGAGTCAGTATTGAATTTGGCGAGACAAGCGAAGCTTCGGAGCGAAATAAAGTGAATCAGTGTGATTAATTATTAGTTTTTTTAAGTTTTAATTGGTGTTCGGTGATTAAAGTGTTAATTTTGGTAATTCAATCGGCAGTTTTATTGTCACGAACCTCAAGCTCGTAACAATTGGTGTTAGAAGTGGGATAAAATCATGTCGATTTTACCTAAGGAGGAAACGGAGGGTGTCCGTACCTGAACTCAACGCCAGCACGAGACGGACCAAAGAAGATTTGGTGGTGCAACGCTGCAGACGTCGGAGGGCCAGCCGCCGGCTGCAGGCCAGTCAGTAGCTCCTACATCTGCAGCACCTGACTTAGGTGATCTGATGCTGATGCTGCAGGAGCAGGCTCGCCGACAAGCGAAGATTCGGAACGAAATAAAGTGAATCTGTGTGATTAATTATTAGTGTTTTTAAGTTTTAATTGATGTTCGGTGATTAGTGTTAATTTTGGTAATTCAATCGGCAGTTTTATTGTCAGGAACCTCAAGCTCGTAACAATATTTTATGGCTAACTAACGCGGGCTAAAGCTAGTTTACCTTTAATTCGGTTCATTGTTAAAATTTAGATTAGTAAATTAGTAATTAGAATTAGTAATACGAACAACATTTTCTAACGGACTAATATTATTACTTAACAAGTGGTAAAATTGAAAATTATGTACAACCGACTTCAATAAAACTCAATTACAACATAATATGTCATGGTTGAAATGATTTCTATGGCATTTATATGGGGCCAAATGTGAGACATACATCAACGAAGAAAAAATGAATAGGTATTCAAAATCGGTCCACGATGGAGAAATCAGTGAACATACATAAAAAATAAAATAAAAGAAAAAACATACAGCCGAACATAGAACCTCGTTCTTTTATGAAGTCTTAAAAATCAACATCAGCTATTCCATAATTTTATATTTTGGCGAAATAAATTTCGGTCTATCACCTACCGATCGAAGTATGATTACAGAATAAATAATATTACGTATG